GTCAAAAAAAAAACAAAAAACAAAAAACAAAAAAAACAAAAAAAAAACAACATTGAGTGACATTAGGGTCAGTCAGTGATACGACACAGCAAGAAACTAGATGAATTCCAAGTTCAGGGCACTTATTTGTCCAAGATATAAAAATACAGATGAGATTTACAGTGACAATTTATCATGATATGTATATATTTTTAAGACAGTGATATATAACTTAGCCACTTTTAATTTCTGCACTAGCATATTACAGTATATTCTACACCCTGTGACTGCCTACACTTAACTTGCATACTTATTTTTAAACTCATATATTTTTTCACTGGTCTTAAATACTTGTTTGGATGAGATAAATCTAAAGGAATAAAATATTCAAAGTGACACTTAGTATTAATGCCTGTGTTTCTGTAGTGTCTAAGTCACTGTTAATTATACTAACAGAATTTCAGATTTTTTCATCTATCAGAGGTCACAGTGGAAACTAAGTTCCTAAGTGAAACACCTAAATAATTATCATTCTGTCAGTTCTTCAGAAGTAATGACACTGTGATCCCTGTAATAAAAACTTAGAAAATTTTTTTTTTCAATCCAGCCTGGTAAATGATTTAGGAGTGTATTCAGTATCTTAAAATGAAAGATACTAGAAGAGTAGGATTGAAATATTACTTGTACCTGGATATTTAAAGATGATTGTGAAACTCAAAAGGAAAACTAGTTGGTGGGCCAGTGCTAAGGCACAGTAGGTTTAGTCACCACTTGTAGCACCAGCTTCCCTTGTGGACGCCAGTTCAAGTTCCAGCTGCTCCACATCCAGTACCACTCCCTGCTAATGTGCCTGGGAAAGCAGCAAAAGATAGCCCAAGTGCTTGGGCCCCTGCACTTGTGTAGGAGACCCAAAAGAAACTCTTGGCGCCTTACTTCACCCTGGCCCAGCACCGGCCATTGTAGCCATGTGGGTAGTGAACCAGCAGATGGAAGATCTTTCTGTGTCTCTCCCTCTCTCTCTATAACTCTGCCTTTCAAATAAACTCTTTTTTTTATTTTTTGACAGGCAGAGTGGACAGTGAGAGAGAGAGACTGAGAGAAAGGTCTTCTTTTTTCCATTGGTTCACCCCCCAATGGCCTCTGCAGCCGGCGTGCTGCGGCCAGCGCACCGTGCTGATCCGAAGGCAGGAGCCAGGTGTTTCTCCTGGTCTCCGATGAGGTGCAGGGCCCAAGCACTTGGGCCATCCTTCACTGCACTCCTGGGCCACAGCAGAGAGCTGGACCGGAAGAGGAGCAACCGGGACAAAATCCAGTGCCCCAACTGGGACTAGAACCCAGTGTGCCGGTGCCGCAAGCAGAGGATTAGCCTATTGAGCCGCGGCACTGGCCTAAAATAAATCTTAAAAAATAAAAAAGTAAACTGGTAAAAGTCTTGCTGACCTTAGATTAGGAAACAGTTTTTTAGATATGGCACCGAAACCACAAGCAACCGAAGAAAAAAATTGGTCAATTAGACTTCATCAAAATTTAAAATGTATCAAAAAACACTATCTGAAAAGTGAGGGGTGAGCGTTTGGCCTAGCAGTTAAGATAACACTTGAGACACCCACATCACTTTTCAGAGCACCTAGGTTTGGATCTTGGCTCTATTCCTGATTCTAGCCTCTTGGTAATATGCACCCTGGAAGGCAGCAGGCGATAGCTCAGGTAGTTGGGTCCTTAGCAGCCACATGGGAGACCTGGACAGAATTCCTGGCTCATGGTTTCAGCCTGGTTCAGACCTGACTGTTGGAGGTATTTGGGGGAGAGAACCATCAAATGGGATCTCTCTCTGTCTCTCTCTGTCTCTCTCTCTCTCTCCCTCTCCCCTTGTAAAATAAATAAAAATAATAAAATTTTTAAAAGAAAGTGAAAAGATATCTAAAAATGGGAGAAATACAATGTAACCATCTTGATTTTGGAATAAAGAACTCTTAACAATTTAACAACAAAAAGGCAACCCAATTTAAAAAGTGGGCCAAAAAAAAAAAAAAAAAAGAATTTGAATAGACATCTCTCCAAAGATATTTAAGTGACTAATAGGAACAAGGACAGATGCTTGACATCAGGAAGGAAATGCAAATCAAAACCACTGAGGAATGGATAAATAAAATATTGCATATTTGTACAATGAACTGTTATTCAGCCATAAAAATAAGCTGATTATTAATGTTGCAACATGGATAACCTCAGAATTATTATGCTTTGTGAAATAAGCTAAACATAAAGGCCATGTATTTTATGATAATGTTACATGAAATGTCAAAAATGGGCAAATCCATAGAAATAGAAAAGGGGTTAATGGTTGCTAGGAAAAAGACAGAGGAGAGGAATTGGGAGTAACTTTTAATAGGCACAGTTTCTTTTGGAGAAGATCATAATGTTCTGGAATTAGACAATGGTGATGTGATGGTTGCATAGCATAGTGAGTATATTAATAAGTACTGTTGGGGCTGGCACTGTGGCATAGTGGGTGGAGCTACCACCTGCAGTGCCAGCATCTCCTATGGATGCCAGTTCAAGTCCTGTCTGCTCCACTTCTAATCCAGCTCTGTACTAAGGCCTGGGAAAGCAGTAGAAGATGGCCCAAGTCCTTGAGCCCCTGCACACACAAGGGAGATCTGGAAGAAGCTCCTGGGTCCTGGGTTTGGATCGGCACAGCTCCAGATGTTACAGCCATCTGGGGAGTAAACCAGTGGATGGAAGACCTCTCTCTGTCTTCTCTCTCTCTACCTCTGCCTGTCTTTAACTCTGCCTTTCAAGTAAATAAATAAGTCTTATTAAAAAAAAAAAAGTACTGTAGTAATGTGCCTTTTAAATGGTAGATGTTATTTTGTTTTATGAATTATATCTGAATTGAAAATGCTAAAATTTTTCTACAAAGCATTGTGGGCCCAAAGATAAAATTTTTAAATGACAGTTTGGAAACCAATTATAAAAGATATCCAGGAAGGGAAATTGTGGGAGGGAGGGAAATATGGTTATCTTCTTTGAATTCTACCTATGAAATACATGAGATCTGTTCTCTTTAGATTAATAATTTAAAAATTCATAGACAACAGAATTAAAAGATAAGTGTTTTGGTGCAAAAATATTGAAATTAGTGCATACAAGAAGTTTTCAAAAGTCTCATGAAAAATACATATTATGAAATGACTGTGTGACTCTCAGTAAACTTGTTTTTTACAATAAATAAAGATGTCCCCAAAGTGAAATAATTTGTACTTCTGCCTATTCTGTGGCTATTAGAGGATTAAGAGAAAGGTCCTGTGTTGTGGTTTATACAACTGGACAGAAAGAATGTCATTAGCTCTCTGCTTAGAGACAAGGAATGCAGTTAGAGATGTTATACAAACTGTACCAATAAAACCCAATTACCTCCACTGAGCAAATCACCTGTAGTTCAGAAACAGCAGGGAAGTAGGGAAACTAATATGTAGTGGGGGTAGAACTAAAGGGATGTGATTTTTCTTTTTTTATATGCAATCCAACAGCAGCTCTCCCTAGATTTTGTGCTAAAATAAGAGCATTTTCACACATTTTAATTGCTCTCCAATAACAACAGTGTGAACTCCAACTACAAACATTTATTATCTATTTAATTTTGCTCTAATTTCAGTGTAGTGAGAATTTACAGTTTAAGTGGGAGTAACTACCCATTTAGTAAAAGAAATCCCTTCTCACTTTGCTAGTCCTGTAATATATGTCTACAATAAAGTATTAATAAAATGGCCTTTTATATTTCTCCATTTTTAGATTGCATTTATAGGTTATTTTTCAAACTAGAATTTTTTTGAACTGGAATATTAGTAAAGATACTTAAAAATTAAAGAAGTTAAGGTTTCATAATATTTCTGGATTTAAGAGGAGACTTTTATGCCTTTAAAGTGCCTAATGCTATAGTGTTTGCAGTAAACCTTACATGCAGGACCATCTTTAAGGTGCATTTTTAAAGGAGTGAATGTTCCAACATGGGAAGCAGTCCATACACTCATAGAACGACATTTGCTTTAAGTAGCACTCTGACCTCAGAATCAGCCCTTAAGGCATTCTGGTCTGGCTGGAAAGCTCATGAGAGCATTTCAGGCATGGAAAGCCAAGACACTGTAGCAAAAAATGTCCTACATAAAGGATCTCAGTGGGTGAGACCCTAGTGGAAAGAAGTGATCATCAAAGAAGGATGTACTTTTCTCTGAAGGGAGGACAGAACTTCCACTTAGCTTATGGCCATGTCCAAACACTGAAGGAATTTGTAGACTCAAAAAGCTTCCATAGCCTAGGCAGCTCATGTCAAGGGACTCGGGTGATCACTGACATCATATTTGATTGTTAATTGCTAAATTGTTAAATTAACATCAGGAGTCACTGTGCACTAACTTCCCATGCAGGACCTATGGCCTCAAAGAGTTGTATTATGAGTTAATAGTAAAACTCCTTCTCAAAGACTTACTTCGTTTTAGTGTATTAAGTGGAGGATATTCTTATTTCTCTTAAACTATAATTATGTTTAAATGCTCCCAAAAAATGTATCATTCTTGGGTTTATCTTTAAAGTTAATTAAGTTTCTCAAAAAAATAAATAAACAAAACAATGCTTAAAACAAAAAAGTGAAATCAACTTCGAGGTGCAGTGACTCTGAACGGCCTTGGTCTTGACTGTTGAACAGCTTTTTTCGTACAATTTGTTGAACTCTTTACTTAGTATAGAGTTAATCTTCTGTGTATAAAGGTCATTGAAAATAGATCTTAATAAAATATAAGACTGAGAATAGGAGAGGGAAGAGGAAGAGGGATGGGAGTGTGGGTGGGAGGGTGGGTACAGTGGGAAGAATCACTATGTTCCTAAAGTTGTATTTATGAAATACATGAAGTTTGTATTCCTTAAATAAAAGGTTTCTTTGGGGAAAAAATCCTTAAATAAAAAAATATGCATTTTAAAGTGCATTAATATAACTTAACTAAATTGTTCTGATTACTTTACAGACCAGTCATTTACTCCATCCTTTATAGTGATGCTACAGGACACAGAGGAATGGATAAAAACATTGGTGAGCAACTCAATAAGGCATATGAAGCCTTCCGACAGGCATGCATGGATAGAGATAATGCAGTAAGAGAACTACAGCAAAAGGTGTGTAATTCTGGTTTTGAATGTTTTTCTGTGGAATTTGAGTGCCTTTTACAGCTAAAAAATGTCGCATTAGTAGAAACTGTTATATGTAACAATTATATATAAATATATACATAATATATAACATATATAACTTATAATTATTAATTGTAACTACTAGAATTCAATAATATATTTATTAGTGGATGAAGTTTGATGTTTTTATTGTCTTTTGAAAAAATATCATGACTCTGGGTAGGATTGATTTGATGGCTTCATGTTAAGGTGATTATGTTTAGGCAAGATGAAGAATGTTGTCTTCTCTAAATAATTTTTGATATCAGTGTTTACTTTGCATATAAAGAGGGAATCATTAAGAACAATCAGTTTGATAACTGAAAGAAGTATTATTGTCTCAACTAGATTAGATTTTTAAATTTTTTTTTACTTGGTATTTGGCTAGTAGAAAGTGTGTGGAAATATTAAAATAATCTAGAACTCAATTTGTTATTAACATATAGTAACTCTTCCATTCTTTATGACAGTTAGACTATTTCAGTGAAATCTTTGACTTAATAAAAAAAGTTCAGCTTCTAAAAAATTTCTCTGTACTCCTAAAATTTCCATTTAGTACTTTGTTTTTTAAAAAAACTTTATTTTATTTATTTGAAATGCAGAGTTACAGAGAGAGATCTTCCATCCACTGGTTTACTCCTCAAATCACCTCAACAGCCAGTGCTGGTCCAGGCCAAAGCCGGGAACCAGGAGCTTCATCCAGGTCTCCCACATGGGTACCCAAGGACTTGGGCCATCTTCTACCATTTTCTCAGGTGCATTAGCAGGTAGTTGGATCAGAAGTGGAACAACTGGGACTCAAACTGGTGCCTTTTTGATATGCAAGCACAGTAGGTGGCAGCTTAACAGTTACATTATGATGCTGGCCCCTTATTTAGTACTTTCAATTTCAAAGGAAAATAAACTAGAAGAAAGGTATATGCAGGCAAAAATTATTTAACATGGTAATTCCTAAGCACATATCAGTTATTTATCAATGATAGGGTTTTCATTGATCTGCAGCAAAAAGAAAAGTAGGACTGGCATCGTAATGTAGTGGGTTAAGCTGCTGCCTGTGATGCCGGCATCCCATACGGGCACTGATTTGAGACCTGGCTGCTCCACTTCTGATCCAGATCCCTGCTAATGTGCCTGGAAAAGCAGCAGAGGATGGCCCAAGTGTTTGGGCTCCTGCAGCCATGTGAGAGACCCAAAAGAAGCTCCTGACTCTTAGCTTTAGATCGCCCCAGCTCCAACTGTTGCAGCCATTTGGGGAGTGAACCAGTAGATGGAAGTTTCTCTCTCTCTCTGCTTCTCAAATAAGTAAGTAAATCTTAAAATAAATAATTAAACCTTTTTTAAAAAATGAGAGAAATAATATAATGAACTTGTTGTAATGCCAGATTTATTCCATTTAAAATTTTTCCCTCTATTCTGACATTATGTTCCATGTTTCCAAGTTGTCAGAATTTTTTCAACATACACTTTCATGAAATGATGATAATAGGGTTATTTATTTCCTTATGTAATGTCATTTCTTAATATTATTTCAGAAGTCCCAATTCCATCTACACAATCTGTAATTCTGTACGACTCATAGGGCTCATCATATAGTCATAGTCATAGCTAAGATTTATTATAGCAAATGGTAAAGATGAATAACCAGATTATTTATATAAAAAAGCATCAGAAGGAGTCTAAAGGAATACATGTTCAGTCTTCCTATGTTCTTTCCCTCCAACTTCAAAAATTATCACATGTGTGCCATGCATAGGAAACTGTATTTGAAATGCAGAGTTCAGCAGGTTTTAGGTTTTTTTATTGAGGCACTCTGTGTTCTAGGAAAGTAGCAAGTAGAATTAGGGAGGAGGAGTATTCAGATTTTCTTAGGTTAAATCAGAAACAGAAATTTGTCTTAACTCCTGTTGTTGTACTGATCTATGGTAAACAACTAAAGGCTCTGCTGATTTAGCCCTTTATTTGCCATGGAAGAAGCCTTTGCTCACATTCATACATACCCCAAAGAAGGAAAAGGGAATTTTTTTTTAATGTACTTATCTTTCAAAGTTGATGCTTTCAAGTGCTCAATAGTAAAGAAAAATGCATACTATATTTCCTTATTTGTTAAAATCAAAATGTCCTGATAGTTTTTTTTAAGGAATAATTTAGTGAGTACCTACCATATACTGGGCCCTTGATGAGATTTTGAGAATATTGAAGTAAATAAAACATAATTTACACCCTAAAGGAACTTTCAGAAGTTCAGATAAATAATATACCAATAAAATAGTTACTCTGTAATTAAAAAGAAGAAAATAGTTATCGTCCTAAAGTTATAATAGAGGTCATTTCAGAGTAGTACAAAAGCACAGAGAAGAGGTACCTAATTCAGTCTGAGAATCAAGTCATAAGTGTCGCTCCCCCTCTTCATGGAGGAACGACACTAAACCCTGCCTAGGCTTCACATCCGCGTCACGGCACCATTATGTCGCTCCCCCTCTTCATGGAGGAACGACACTAAGCCCTGCCTAGGCTTCCTATCCGAGTCACGGCACCATTATGTCGCTCCCCGTCTTTGTGGAGGAACGACACAGGACCCTGCGCTGTTCTTTTGTCTGCTCGGCCCTTCCCAGGTTTGCTGCTGGTTCTTCCCGGGTTGGCTACCGTCCCTTCCACCTCCGTGGAAGGGCGGTTCCCCCTGCCACATTCCCCACTTCCGCGGGGGAGCGGCACACCGCCGGCCGGCTCTCTCGGGGGCTGCTCAGGTGTTCCCCTTAGATGTTCCTGGTGCATGCCGTCTCTCTCCTCCTTTGTAGTCCTCTTCCACCAATCCCAACTCTGCTACCCACACGCCGAGTACGCTGCTCTCCTCCAATCAGGAGCAGGTCCAACAGTTTATTGGTTGAACTGGAGGCAGCTGTGTAGAAGCTGTTTCCCTTCTCAGCGCCATATTGTGGGAAAGCAGATGCATAGAATAAGTCTTAATTCCAGTAACTTAGTCTAGTCCGAGTTGCTCCCAGTTGCTCCCCACAATAAGCTTAATATGAGTCAAGAGCTGTGTTAAGATTAGGAAGAGTTTGGTAACCTGGGGAAGAAGGATCCTGGAAGCAAAGGAAATAGCATATAAAAAACTCACTTAGCCCCTGCACCTGCATGGTAGGCCAGGAGAAGCACCTGGCTCCTGGCTTCAGATTGGCACGGTGCGCCGGCCGCAACGGCCATTGTGGGGTGAACCAATGGAAAAGGAAGGCCTTTCTATCTCTCTCTCTCTCGCTGTCCACTCTGCCTGTCAAAAAAAAAAAAAAAAAAAACTCACAAGTGAGCAAATGGTACATTCCACATATCACAACATGATCCTGTGGCTCCAAAAAGAGTGACAGGACATTTCAGGAAAATAAACTGTAGAGGTAGATTATGCTAAGTATGTCTAAGTAATTTGTAATGTATTCAATCAGAAGTTATTGAAGAGGTAGGTGTTTGCCTAGTAGCTTAGATGTCCATGTCCCATATCAGACTCTCTGAGTTCAATTCCCAGCTCTGGCATCTGACTCCATCTTCTTGCTAATGCATACCGTGGGAGGCAGTGGGGATGGCTCAGATAATTGGGTTCTTGTCACACATGTGGGGCACACGGTTTGAATTCCCAGTTTCCAGCTTTGACCTGTCCTTATTCCTGGCCAATGCAAACATTTGGGCAAAGATTGGCAAATGGGAGCTCTTTGTCCCTCATATAAAGAAAGAAAATTTTAATTAAAAAATCTTTAAGTTACTGAAGGATTAATATGTGCTTTAGAAAAGTCTTCCTGACAATGGAATAGAGCTAGATAGGATGTGGAACAATATGCAATTCAACACACATATTTAATGCCAACCAATGTTCTAAGAGTAAGGCATATCAAAATAAATGACAATTATCCAGTTCATCTTATATACTTTATTATATACTGATATAAAATTATACATAAAGTGAACTTTTATTGTAAGATATGTTAATATACATATATACTAAATGTGTTTATATTATCCTTCAGATATTAAAGAATTACAGTTATTTTGAAGATCAAAATGAGGGCCTAAATTAAGCATTAGGGATGAGTTGAGGAAGAGATCTAAGATATATTTAGGAAATAAGTAAGAAAACAGGTGGTACCTGAATACAAGCTCTTCTGAGGTGGTGGCATAGACTCTATGATGATACCAGTGATCTAGAATAGATGACTGAATTGATGATGACTGAAACCAAGAATGGAAAAGAAAATGCGGAATTAGAGATGGGGAAATAAGCTACATAATTAGATTTTAGTTAACAGGTATAGTTACCTGAGGAAATACAGATGAAAACATTCCATGGATAGTTGTAAATATGAAAACAGTTCTGAACTGGAGATTATAGGTATGGGAATGATGGATTTTGTTGTAGCTTTAAATGTGGGCAACATTTCCCAGGTAGTGTAAGTTGAAGGAAAATTTGAAGGACAGAAGGGAAAGAGGATAAGAGAAAGAGAAGAAGCCCAACTGATTGGTTCGTGGAGATTCAAAACATAAGTTAACCAGTTGAGAAGCATAGGAAGAGAAACCTGGAGAATACCAATATTAGAGACTAGGCATAAGGGCCGGCTTTATGGCATAGCAGTTTAAGCTGTCTGCAATGACAGCACATCCTAATACGGGTGCTGGTTGGTGTCCCAGCTGCTCCACTTCCAATCCAGCTCCCTGCTAATGTACCTGGAAAAGTGACAGAGGACAGCCCATGTGTGTGGGCCCCTGCACCCATGTGAAATGGGAGACCTGGAGGAATCTCCTGACTTTGGCTGACCCAGCCCCAGCCATTATAGCTATTTGGGTAATGAACCAGCAGATAAAAGATCTCTTTCTCTCTGTCCCTCTTTCTCTCTGCAACTCTGCCTTTCAAATAATGACTAAATTAAAAAAAAAAAAAAAGACTAGGCATAAAGGGGGGAACCATT